AGCTATTCTGGAACTCACAGTGTAGACCAGGCTGTCCTCGAACTCCCACCTGCCTCTGCCTCCTGAGTACTGGATTAAAGGTGTGTGGTGCCGCCGCCGCTGCCGCCACCATCGCCATCATCATCACCATTACCCAGCACTGTCCTTTTTAATAAAAATTTCTCTGACGAGAAAAAAGGTCATAAAAGCCTGCAAAGAGGCCATATTTGATTAGTAAACTCCTAATAGTTAAGTATTTTTCTTCTTTTTACAAATGTATTGAGAATTTCATACATGAATATAATGTGTTTTGCTCAAATCCACCCTGCATTTCCTCCCCTCCAGCTCCTCCATACCCCCACCACCAAGTTCCCGTCCCCACTTAATGCAACTTAAAAAAGTGCCAGGATGTGCAAGGGTGTAGGCTCATCGCTAGAACATGGGCAGTCTATCAGGTCACATCTGAGGTAAACTGACTCCTTACCCAGCAGCCATCAATTGCCAAAAGCTCCTCAGTGGGACTTTACAAGCCTCTCTCCCATCCATGATGGAATTTTACCTAGTTTGATCTTGTACAGGTCTTTGCATGCAGTCATAGTTGCTCTGAATGCATGAGTTCAATGTCCCTGTCAAGTTTCATAGCTCCTCTATAGCACCTGACTCTTAGACCTGTGTTTCAAGATGATCCCCAAGCCTTGGGCATAGGGAATGTAATATAGATGTGCCATTCATGGCTCAGCTCTCCAGTGTCTTGTTCTCTACACTTTGACCAGCTGGAAGTCTCTATTAATCACCGTCTACTGCAAAACAAAGCTTCTTTGGTTTAGAGAGAATGTTGGGAGCTGCAGTTTAATACCATGTCTGTTTAACTAAGTAATGGTAATTAGTGCTTCCCTAGAGCCCTGTGTTTTCATGGCTCGAAAGAGATATTCATGAGCCCAGGTCCCCTTGCTCCCTTTGGAGTTTAGATTGTATTCCCACAAATCAAATGTAAGTATGTTGGTAGACTCTGGTAGGAACTGGTGGGCCTGGAGCTAGCTGTCCATGCAGTGAGCAGCAGCAGCAGCAGGCCCAGGAAGGAGTGTCAGCTTTTTCTAGGCTCCAGGGCTCTGCTGATTCTTGCCTTATTTTAGTTCCTTGGAGCAGCTTAGATAAAAGCTCAACCATCAGCAACAGTGGTTAGCTGCTGCGGGCCACAGGAATATATCATAAGAACTCAGCTGGTTACGGCAAAATCACTACCTGGAGGGACCAGGGAATTCCTCCAGAGGAAGCCAAATTCCAAGGAGTTTTTGGTGTTATTTGGCTTGTTATATATCATCTGTCTTCTGTTATGAAAATCATGTGTGCCTTCATAGTTTTCCCAGTTGACTTTTCCCTAAGAAGGGCTAACAGTGTGAACTGATCACTCTCTGGACATACACATTTCAGGTGTTTTGAGAACTGCCTCAGGAAAGGCTTTCTCTGGAATCAGATTCTCCCTCGGCCTTTCAAGGATTAGCAGTAATAACAGTCCACATGCAAGTCTCCTGATTTAAGATAAATTCCATAAGGAGACACCGCCTAGGTCAGGTGGACGTTAAGTAATAGCTTTACACAATTCAGCTCGGACCCTCCTTTCTTACAGCCTTACTAACTTTATAGACCGCTAATTCCTTACCTAACCACTTCTAGGAATAGTTAGATAACCTTCTGTGCTAACAGCTATGCTCAGCCAGAACCCCAGTTCAAGCCTCCCTGTAATCATCATCATTGGCAGCATCTGGCCAGGTCCATTCCCAGACAGAAGAAAGTACCTTATCAGAGATACCTCTGTACTCTCTAAGAACAGACCTAAGCATCCAGGCTACCCGTTTGAGAAGGCCTGGCGGATGTGCCAATTAAGTTTTACTTTCTCCTTTCCCAAATCTTACCTCCAGTTCCAGATCTCCCTTTAACTATCACCAGAGGCATCTAGCTGTGCACAGGTTGCCTAGCGACTGAGCACACTTTCGCCCACCCTGCAGAAAAACGGCAGATAGCTTGGACACATAGGAGCCACAGGAAAAAAGAAGACAGTTTTATTTTCTCCCATTGACTTAGCAACTTATAGATTCTTAACATTTTTCTACCAATCACGTTTAAGATTTTTATAGTTGAGCACATAAGGTCCCTCTTCTTAGATATTACCTGAATTTAGCCTTTAGTTAATTCATTTCCCCATTGGTCACTTCCCTTTGGGGTTGCAAATGATAATTAACAGTTATTGCCTCTCAATGTGATTCTTATCACCCCTCCGTTTGACCCTGGAAGCCTAGCTTTATATACCAGGACTTCCAGGGCACAGGAGGGAGAAAAGAGTATGGAAGAACTAGACAGGTAAGAACTTGCGAGGAACAAACTGAGATGGGGAAGAACTAGATTGAAGGGCTAGAAGAGAGTACTAGAGGAATGAGATGGAAGATGAGGAAGAGTCAGATGGGAAAGCCCTAGCTGGGTAAGAAGAAGATGAAAAGGACCTAGATGAGGCAGAATTAAGACGAGAGAATTAAGATAGAACTTAAGAGGGAACAGTAGATAAACAGAGAGAGATCAGGCAAGGAAGGAGCTAGGCACGAGAACAGAACTGAAACTGTGTATATGTGGATGTTATGGCAGAGGAATTAAAGCAAGTGGACTATAGAGCTCGGTGTGCTGAGATTCTATTTCCTGAAAATAGTCCTTGCCGTTAGTAGTTCTCTCTCCTGAGCCCCTGGGATGTATAATATTAAGGCTGGTCCCTCCAATATCATACAAGAGCTAGCAGAATTCCCTTCTAGAGAAATAAGACCTTTGAGTTCAACCTGTTACTCCCCTGACAATCCCAAGGGATGAGACTAGCGGATTTTTTCTATTAGTATATAGAGTGGGGGTTCATTCTGTGCTCTAGATAGGTTAGCGTGGATCCCTACACCTTGAACTAAAATAGGGCTCTAGCCATATGTGCCTAATCTTTCCTTCCTTGGGGTGATGTTAGGTGTCTGGAGTCATTCTCCAGATCTCTGGCATGTTGCCCATAGTAGGATTTGATACATGGTTTTCTCAGTGTCTGACAACTCACTTTTGCTTTTGAGGGAACTTGATACCTGTGTAGATGTTTATTAATCTTGTCACTCACGGGCGGAAGGAAAGTCAGGATCTATACCAGGGATTCGTAAATGTTCTGTACTTTTGACCCCCTCCACACACACACACCGGGAAAAACTTGTATGCTCTTGGGTGTTCATGTGTGTAAAATAGATATGCTTCATATGAAACATTTGCTGTAGTAAGAATTTTATTTATTTTAAAACGATGCTTTGACATACATCCAATATAACATTTCTCAAAGATGAAAGAGACTTTGAATACTAGTGAGACAAGCTAATTTGTCTGACATAATATGGTGTGAAGATAAATGGCAAGAGATTATGGCAGAAAAATATTAAATGTCTGTTTTTCATAAAAACCTTGTGTTTTGAAAGAGCAGCTAACTATGTAGAGTACAAACCCTACAATTTATAACATCCTTGAATCTGAGCCAGAGTGATACAGGCGGCCTCTATCGGTGCTGTGCGATGTACTGGTACACACTGTGTAAAGCGTGCATGTCGTAGGTTCTGAACAGAGACCCGTCACGGGGAAGGCGTCCTGTAGCAGCGTTGAGCCAATTCTGTCCATATTTGATTTTTAGTGTTCCCAGTTTTTGGACCCCCTTCCTTGTTATGTGACCCCACATGGAGCTGCAGCTAACAGGTTGAGAATAGGACTCTGTGCTGGATCGTTGTATGTCAAGTTGACACAAGCTGAAGTCATCTAAGAGGAGGGAGCCTCAGTTAAGAAAATGCTTCCATACGATGGGGCTGTAAGCAAGCGTGGTGGGTGGTGCCGTCCCTGGGCTGGTGGTTCTGGGTTCTATAAGAAAGCAGGCTGAGCAAGCCAGGGGAAGCAAGCCAGTAAGCAGCCCTACTCCATGGCCTCTGCCTCAGCTCCTGCCTCCAGGATCCTGCCCTGCTTGAGTTCCTGTCCTCACTGCTTTTCATGATGAACTATTAATATGGATCTGAGTGAAATAAACCCTGTCCTCCCCAAGCTGCCTTTGGTTGTGGTGATTGATCACAGCAAAAGTAACCCTAACTAAGACAGACTCTGTGGTCAGCACTGAGAACTGAGCTCATACCTTGGCATACACCTGTAACACAGTGCTGTGACGCCAGCCTCAGCATCTACATTTTCTCCTTTGGAGACTGAATGTTATTGTTTAGGATTGGGTTCGTATTCTTTCCCCTTGCTCTTACTAAAACCTACCTCACATACCTGTGTCTTCCTCTATGGATTGTTTTCCTTTTGGGAATGAGAAAAGGCTAGCGTTGTTTTCTTGAACCAGTATGTTGACACCTGTGTTGATTTTTCTCATTCCATGATACAGAATACAAATTAAGCTGTACCTTCTGTAAGAAACTAGTAACACACACACACACACACACACACACACACACACAGAGAGAGAGAGAGAGAGAGAGAGAGAGAGAGAGAGAGAGAGAG